GAGTGTGAAGTGCGAAGTGGGAAGTGTGAAGTTTGGAGTGTGAAGTTTGGAGTGGGAAGGAAGCAGTGAGAAGTGAGAAGTGTGAAGTGTGGACTGTGAAGTGTGGAGTGTGAAGTGCGAAGTGAGAAGTGTGAAGTTTGGAGTGTGAAGGAAGCAGTGAGAAGTGAGAAGTGAGAAGTGTGAAGTGAGAAGTGTGAAGTGTGGACTGTGAAGTGTGGAGTGTGAAGTGCGAAGTGAGAAGTGTGAAGTGTGAAGTGTGAAGTTTGGAGTGTGAAGGAAGCAGTGAGAAGTGAGAAGTGTGAAATGTGGAGTGTGAAGTGTGAAATGCGAAGTGAGAAGTGTGGACTGTGAAGTGAGAAGTGTTAAGTGTGGACTGTGAAGTGTGAAGTGTGGACTGTGAAGTGTGAAGTGTGGACTGTGAAGTGTGAAGTGTGCAGTGTGAAGTGTGAAGTGTGAGGTTTGGAGTGTGAAGAAGCAGTGAGAAGTGAGAAGTGTGGAGTGTGAAGTTTGAAGTTTGGAGTGCGAAGAGTGCAGTGTGAAGTGTGAAGTTTGGAGTGCGAAGAGTGCAGTGTGCAGTGTGAGGTGTGGAGTGTCGAGGGAAGGACACGGTCGGGACAGGTTGTCTTTGAACTATAGGTCATTTATGTTTGGGAAACTTCCGCCGCCGGCTTGCCCGGGTCTATGTTACCAACCAATATAATTATCAATAAACAACTTGGGGGTTTTCCAATATATCGATATGAAAATTGTGATTGTCGGATTTACCACGCAGTCATGTTAATTCCATAATATTCATGCCTCTCCCAATGAGGATCCAATGACTATTCCCCATAAATCCATTAGCCATGCAGGATGGTGCCCCCCAGTTATAAGTTGGTTTATAAATCCCATTAACTATAGTTATATCTGCCATAAACCATAGTTATGGGAGTTATAAACCAACTTAGCTAACTATGTGGCACCACCTTGTGTTATATTCACCAGTATAATGATACTCACATGACTATCCTCTGCGCCGAGGATCACGCACAATGCCCTCATCAGCTCCTGTGAGAAGACTTCGCAATGGCAGCTTGGTAGTGGCGCCGCTGAGACGTGGACGTAATGAATACTTATTGAATATAATATACTTAAGGGGGGTATATAATCTTGATATTATGGGCAAACAATGGGATATCATATATCTATATATAAGATTACACACACATATATATATATATTTATATAAGTAATGGGGATATGAAAATACATATTATTTCCAAATACAAGCCACAATGTAATGAAACCGATGGTGAATTCCCGGTGATTCCATGTGAGGGCACGTCCTTGGGACGGGAACGACGGGAACGACGGGAACCGTCCCCAGATGACCAGTTCACGTTGGTGACTGGTTGGGACGGTTTGTTTGTATCTCCTTTATTCTTTACCCTCTGGTAAACGTTTACATAACCATGTTTAATGGGTAAATCAACTATTTCTATGACCATTTTCAATAGCTATGTTAGTTTACCAGAGGGTAATAAGAACAACTATTGGTTGTGTCCGAAAAGATCACCTTTATCCTTAAAACATAGTAAGATATAGTAAGATTCATGTGTTCTTTTCTATCGGTGGGTTTTATAGATAATGATGCATGGTCATGACACTGAGACACGGACAAGTTCTATCCATTATACACCAAAGGCGAACGTACATGCACGTCATATAATGTTGTTATGTTTCCATTTCTGCCATTTTAACCAAAGGAACATTAACATGTTCTATCCAAAAGGAACGTTGGCAAAACAAACGGTTTGTACCATGGCAGTCCATGTGCCATGTGGTAAATGGTTTACGCATACAAAATCAGGATGTTCCACTTGTCAGTTTCAATTGAGTCTTCAAAAGGTGCATAAAGTGCGTGAACTACAGCTGGATGTAACTGGGAGATACATAGACATACTTATATATGTATAAGTACATTTGCCACAAATGCTCTGTTTACACTATATCGTTCCAATGAAACGCATTCAATATTAGATATGATATTACGTATTTTGTCCTGCTTGTTTTTTGTTTACGCGCTGTGTACTATACTTATGTACATACATATTATAGATATGTTTTTTTTTGTGTGTATTTTTTTCATATTTAGTACTAAATCTATGCTTATATCTATATGTGAACTAATTTGTTGGTCACTGCTGGTGTTTTTTTTGAGGACCTTGGCCCTGCACGTTTTTTCTCTCCTGCAAGATCAGCAACTACAAGCCAGTCTGGTCAGTCACTTGGCATAGGAATGTACCATGGGATCTTCATGAGGTGGATTTATGGTGGATTTAAATCATCGTCAAAATATATCAATATATACGGTAACGACATTTAAATATGTGGAGGGCGGGCCAAACCGCGAGGCCCCGGAGGTAGTATGAAATACCAGTTCGTATATTTAAATGTAGTTACGGTATGTTTAAATGAATTGGATTCCGTATGTTTAAATGGCTGGGCGGGCCAAGGAAAACCTTCCCGGAGGTAGTCTAAAATACGTGTTCGTATATTTAAAAATCCGTATATTTAAATGTAGTTACCGTAATATATATATATATATATAACCTGAATCTGATTTGCTGAAGATGTTTTTTCTCAAACATGTTTCCAATGGGAAGTCCACTGTTTAGACCATCTATAGTGATTTTGGGGGAGTCCTGAAGCAAATCCAAGACAACCAATTGCAAGGTGAGGCCACGAAATCGCTAAGGTGACGCACATCACTTGGTTATCTAGGGGTCAGAACATGAGGGATTTATAACTATATATATATATATTTAACGGGATTATAAACCAACTTATAGCGGTGGGGCCTCAACTTGAAGAACCCTGATCAGCGATTACAATAGGATTATGTTTGGGATTATAACTGAGTTGGAGAAGAAGGATGTGTTCTGATGATTTTATGACCTGGAATTATGTCTTAGGATTTGGGGAATCATCTCCATAGTTTGCCGCTCGACAACAGTTCTTTTCAGGCTAGTGAATCAGCTAATGATTCAGCCAGAATGGATGTGTTCAAAGGGATTGAAATGACCTTTCAACCATCCATGCATGGGGATTTAGCCCAACATCATGATTTTAGCAACGATGCAAATGAGGTGTGTCTGAAAATCGAAAAATCACCACCCTCAATGGCAACATACTGTGAGAATGGGCACTGGTGAAATCTGTTTTGATTTCTAAAATCGTCATTCTTTTACTGGAGGATTCCACATGTTTTCTCTTAGTTCAATCATCCGTGTTTCCACAGCAGGTCACAGTGCAACGGTCAGTGCCTGCCAGAAGAGCGGACAATGGCAAGCAGCCCTTGCGCCCCGTGGACTCAGTTGGTCAAAAAAAGTGAGGAGTATGTCAAACGACTGAGGAACCAGCGTGAGTATGGGGGTGCAACAGTGGACAACCGCTAATGCTACTGAAAACAATTGGGATTCCAACAATCAAGTTGATGGAATTGTACCGAAGTCAAGATTGAAGATTAAAACTAGGTTTCAGTTCAGCTGGCTCATGATGTTTGATTCCAAAAAGTCAACCCTCCACAGGGTATATGCCCCTAATCAACCCAAGCGAAATGTGCGTTATCTTCACCAACTTCGCTACCAAAGTCCAGATTCTAAATCAACACATGCTTTCACTTCAGTTGCTTCATCTTTTTGGGGGGTTAATAACCATTAAAGTCTTTATTGTTGGTTATTGATAGTTGCTTCAATTGTTATTTTTCCCAGGAAAAGTTACACACACACATATATATATATATATATGTATATGTATATATATATATGTATATATATATATATATTTAGAGAGTATCTCTATATATAATTACATCCCACATTACATCCTATAGAAAACGTCACGAATCTCCCACAAGGTGATGCCCCATGCCTAGGTGAACTCCAATTTCACTATGGCTTATGTTCTATCACTTACTGTTTATAAACCAACGTTCACTGGTTGGTTTTGGAACCATGGAATTTTATGACGTTCCATTCAGTTGGGAACAATAATCCCATTTGACGAACTCATATTTTTCAGAGGGGTAGGCTCAACCACCAATCAGGTTAACTATCATTTACTATGGAAAATCACAATTTTCAATGGGTAAATCCACTAAAATCACATTTCTCCCAGGCTCTTCTTCCAAGCCGCCGCCCAGCTTTCGCCCGACGTCATCCTTTACAGCGCCGCCGTCTCCGCCTGCGCCGCCGCGGAACGCGACGGCTGGCGCTGGGCCGTGGAGCTGCTGCAGCGGGCGCTGCGGCAGCGGGCGGTGAATCAGGCGCCATGACCGGTGGATGTTGAGGAAAGGTGTGGGCAAAACCATGGAAAAAACGTGGAAAAACCATGGAACCGCAAACTGGATGGATGTTTATAGTTTATATATAGATGTTTATAGACTATAGCTGGAAAAAACAGGAACAAATACGGGAAATCCATGCAAAGTGGAGGTTTGTTAAATATCTTGACTTGGGGCCCGGGGGGCTCAAGTTTTGTGGAATCAGACGCAAGATTGAGGTGAATTCCTGAAGGGATGTGTTTGCTATAAACTTCAATTCGACAACCACTGCTATACGTATATTTGACACCCCAGGTTTTTGGGCCTGCAATGGTGGGATATTTTAGTTCCAATGTTTTGCATATTTCACCAGAATTTGGTTTCACTCAGACTTTGGTGCCAAAAAATGTTTCGACACATTTGCACTGCTAGGGGCCTCCAGTGTTCAAAATCTGTGCACGGTGGATCACATCCTGTGCTGCCAGTAGGTGTGCTGCCTGGAGCAGTTTTATTCTTTTGACCTCAAACCTCGTATGAAGACCAATGAACTATGAGGGTTTCTTAAAATGGGCGATCCCTAAAACCATGGGTTCAATAGGTTTTAATATTAAAATTGTCTAATGACTTGGATGATTTGGGGGCACCTCAATTTCAGGAAACCTCCATATGAAGCACTGTGCATCCGAAGACGCCCGCGCAGGTACTTTGTAGCGCTGCCATGAGTGCCTGCGAAGGTGAAAGCCAATGGCAAGCGGCCTTCGAAATCTTTCGACAACAGGAACTGCTAGGTGGGAAGATCGATCCGGTGACTTTGTCAACCCAACATGCGCCTACTGTAATGGGGCAAATGACAAACGCAATCCCATGGAATTCATGGAATTCCTTCATGGAATCCCCATGAAATCCAATCAAACCCCATGAAATTTCATCAAATCTGCTAACCAAATCTGCCAACATTTTAACATAATTCTCAGTCAAACCAAGAAAACACTCCGCTAATTGAACGTAGCTATTCGAAAATTGCCATTTAGTTTGATGATTTAACCTTTTACAGAAGGGTGATATTTTCCAGTTCGCAAAGTTGGTGATACATTTGATGATCATATGAAAACTGTTAGTTGGATACAGTTGGTTGATACCATATATGGCCCTATGATCTCCCCGTTAGTTGTTTGAATTCCCATGAAATCTTCGTCAGGCCTTGGCAGTGATGAGTTCACCCTGTCTGCTCTGATGAGTGCTGTGGCGAGGGTGAAATACCCGTATGATGCGTACGGTGATTAATGGATTGTTGGTGATTAATGGTGATTAATGGTGATGATAATGGATAATGATCAATGATGATTTATGATTAAAGATTCATGTTGATTAATGATTAATGATTAATGGTGATTTATCATCAATGATTAATGGTGGTGGTGATGACACTGGTTTATGTCTAATGCTGATTAGTGATTCGTGATGCTGTTGGTGATTAATGGTGATGATGATGGTTAATGATTAATGGTGATGGTGCTGGTGATTAATGGTGATGGTAATGGTGCTTTTTATGTGATTAATGGATTTACCCTCCAACATGGCAAGCTGGCAAATCTCTTATAATAAGTAGAGGTTTAAATGATAAGGAATCGAAACAAATATGAACAATTCATCTATAATTTATCTATTACTATAAATGATGGATTTTCCAATGCCACGGTTGAATACCGGAGAGCACGTTGGAATACGCATTATTGGGATGAACCGATTTAATTCCGAGTTTTGTTTGTCTGAGCAGAAGGGTGCAGGGTTTTGACCCATTCCCATCTCAGGGAAAGTGGAGGTTTAGCATGGTTTAGTGCATGCGAGAGAGCATACCTATACTTTATTATACTTGTAACTCTGGAATTGATATGTTAACGACTTTAAATATTGTGCATTGCACGCGGTTAGGGGGATATGCCAAAAGCATCCGAAAGCACTGCAACAACTACTCAAACACTTGCCTTTTTGACCAACAAAGACATAGAGGGATCCTGATGTTTTGGCACTCGGTAACTGTTAGTTGATATTAGTTGTATAGTAAAATCCCATAGAAACCAACCATTTGTAGATCATTGTCTGAACGGGAAGTAGCCATGCGTGTGTGCCATGGCCTACAGCCCTTCTATCCTTTTGGTCTGAGGCTGTTGTGAGAAGGCCAGTCACTGGCCTCGTTGCTTTGAGTTGCTGGAGAGCTTCCGGCTCCGCAGCGCAAGTTGCTTCGGGTTGGTGGATCCAGTGTGGATTTTGACCTTCCCGGAACCCCTGCGAAGCCGAAACGAAGTTGGTCAGTACTTGCGGTACTTTCATGTACTTTCCTTGAACATCTTTAAACATGTTATAATGGGGATCATTTCGAGGATAAAAAAATACCTATATCCCTCTTGAACAATATACGGATGTGGGATGATCTTCAGAATTGAGGCTACCCCAGATTGCACCAGGGGCAACCAGAGATGGTGAATTGTACAATGTGCTCCCCCAGTATAAGTTGGTTAAGTTGGTGTATGGTCCTTTTTCGCTATATATATATATGTATATATATATATATGCCATAAACCCTACTATAGTATGGTTACTAGTTATTGTAGTTATGTTCACCAACTTAGCTAGTGAACTATTATATAGCCAGTTATAACTAGTTATATTATGTTTACCCACCAGTTAAATTAATATATATATATAGTTCACATTGGTTAGTTAATTAGTTAGTTAGTTAGTTTGTTAGTTTGTTAGTTTGTTTAGTTTGTTTAGTTAGTTAGTTAAGTTACTTTAGTTAGCTTAGTTAGTTTAGTTAGTTCAGTTAATTAGTTAGTTACTTAGTTAGTTAGTTAGGTAGGTAGTTAGTAGTTAGACTATGGCCACCATTTATTTATATATATATATATGTGAATATAGTCACCCACCTTGTTTGTCCCAAGATGTCCAAATGCTGCGTAAGGTGGCAGCATGTGAAGCCGCAGCTTGCTTGGAAACTGGAGATTGGGTAAGTCAAATCAGCCCGGGATATGCAAAACTATTCATAATTCATGTTTTTCCCTACCAAGAAAATATCAACATATGAAGCATGGATGGAACCAACAGGAAGGGTGGGCCCACCTATAAGTTGGTCTAGAACCCCTTGGGGCTATAGATGACATTGATATCTCTACCTTTATTCATTTTTCAATGGACATCTTGGTTACTGCTATAAGCCATGCAACCACTATATTAGATATAACACATGCAACCACTATATTAGATATAACCCAGATAAACATCATGCGACCATCGATCCTAGTCGCGGCCTCAACAAAGGAGTTTGGTGGTTCACAACGTGGCCATCAGTGCCTTCCAACGCAGCCAACGATGGGTGGAGGCAATCGGTCAGTTGGAGAAGTGGCCTGGCAGGAGGAGTCCTCTTCCATAAGATGAAACTATAGTTATGTGTTTTGTTTATTGCTTCATCGTAATTCTATTATGAGGTCGTATTAACATTTATTAACTACCAACAACCATGTTTTTTTCAGAGGAAATCTTAACGATGTAATATTGGCGGGTCACCACACACACACAACAGTTCTGTTCACCAACGATGTTCATATCCCTTAAAGATCGACCAATTCCAGCCCACTGCCCTTTGGTAACTTATATATAATTTATTAATTACTTATATTGCATAGCCATGGAAAATCACCATAATCCATCATAATCCCATCATAATTATCTATGAATTCCCCATGGCTTCCCATTATTTCAGCATGAAATCCCCATGTTCAGTGCTTAAATCCTCTGATTCCCCCTTGAATCACCATGATATCCCCATTGATCCCAAGGATCCGCGGAACGGCGCAGCCAGACGCGGTGACGTACTCCGCGGTGATCGCGGCCTGCGGCACGTTCCAACGCTGGCAGCAAGCGCTGGAGCTGCCGCTTGGGACGGAGCTTGCTGGGAGGATGGAAAGACTATTCACCAATATTCACCATGATTTTACTAGGACTTGCTGCTTTTCTTCATAATTTTGGGGTTGCTATGTCTCATTTTGATTCATTTTCAGGCTTCAACCTCCCGGACTCCTCAATGTCGCTGCCTTCAGCATGTCAAGGTTTCATGAAGCACCGCGGAATGCTGTGGTGCTGAGTGCCACCATAAGTGCCTGCGAGCAGGCCTGCCATTGGCAACAGGCTCTGCAATTGCTGGCTGATGCCAATCATGGATCAGTCCGGCGGGCCCGTTGGCTCGAAGTGCTTCGATGTTTGTTGCAAGCCAGAAAAAGATAGAAACGTAATTGGTCTTTGTAACATGCATATATATATATTTGTATAATGACTAATATACATATATATATATATTATTTTTAATCATATGTAGTTATTCCATATATATATAATATATCATTGTATCTTTAATTATTATTAATTACTTTACTTATCCCGGATTAGCGGGTGTGTTTGAAAAGGGGTATGGCCCAAAAATTGGCATGTTTAATGATGAAAAACATGATGCACCATGGTATTGGAGGGTATATTTTGATGTTTAGACAATCGCATGGGCTAAGGCCTCCACGGTGGACGGTCCTTATTCATTTAATAGCACCTTTAGGAACACTTACAGGTTATGACGGATGTTGTGCACAGCTATTCCGATGGTCTCAACTTATAAAAGTATTTATAGTATTTTATCGTAAGTATAATGGTGATATGCACCATTTATATCACCATTCAGCAGCTTGTTCAGCATTTTTTGGGGGGGTCCAAGGATTTGGTCGTGTGCAATGCAGTGATCAGTGCATGCGCCTCTGCCCTTCAGTGGCCTTATGCCCTGCACCTTGTGTGTCACTACATGGCCGGAGATGAGGCCTCACCGTGTGATATGACGTTGGGTTTTACCAGAAGCCACTTCAGGATGTAGAAAACTAGCTCGAAATGCGGATCACTTAATATATATATATATATACATATAATTATATATAGATACTTATACATATATATATATATATATGCGTATGTATATGTATATGTGATAGTATGATCATCCACCAACACACCCAGAACCTCCAGGGCTTGATAAACATTGGTATCCCAAAATCAGGCAGATGGATTCGGGAAAATTGTGAACGGCAAGACGGCCAATTGTGCAATGCGGGCCTTGACATGTGCCATCCAATGGCAACGTAGCCTGTGCCTACTGGATCGAATGCAAGACTTGCAAGTGGAGATTGAGACTTGGCATGACTTGGCTCGCGAATTGTTTGCCAATGATCCTAGAAAATTGCCCACGAAGTTTTATGATATAGGATGTGGAGCACATCATAGTTGTCGGAAGAGCATGCTCTACAAATGCTGTGCTGCAACAGTTTCATATGTGAGTTTGGAATAGTTTGGAGGCACACCGGCTCCTATGTTGATCTATTTTGATTCATCTCTTCCTAAATCCACATTCCAACAGTCCAACCACAGCTGCCCCTGCCATGGCCCCAGGATGTGATTCTACTGTCCCTGGTGGCAGACGCCTGTGCCGCAGCGGCTCAGTGGACCTACTTGGTGCCTGCGCTCAGTCGCCTGGGAGAGGCGTCCGGGACGACAAAAAACGTGCCGCGGACGCCGCGGACTGCGGGGATCATGACAATACCCTCTGGTTATGACTAACAGTTTGCCATGGAAAGATCCACCATTTTTCAGTTCGGTAAACCCGGTAAACCATCTATAAATCTATGGGCCATGGCTTCCATGGCTATGTTAAATAACCAGAGGGTATCATTACAATAGCGATTATCATATGCTATACCGTTGGATACAATGTTAGCCATCAAAAATAGTGGTTGCACCACCAAATATGGAGAAGTGATCTAATGAAATCCAGTAGTTTTGGCACTTTAATTTGTTGCCATCAATGGGCATCGGCATATCCTACACCAGCCCATTATAGATGCAGGTTATGTCAGATTGGCCGCGTCTTGGGGTCAGCATTGAGGGGCATTGAATCCCAATGAAGGGATTGAGGTTTCAACACTGAGCTGGAGGATGCTAAGAATCATCACGGCTGTAATTCCTGGAGCAGTTTAAGGGCGATCAGTTGGATGGGGCAATTGTGGGTCAGTGAAGCTGGACATATTGCAGAGTTACCAGTCGTTCCTTTCTTGGAGAATCATGGCATATCGTGGCTGATGCGTGAAACATTGAGGAACCCCAGGAATGTGGTCGAAGTAGGACTTTCGGCATGAAGCTACCCTTTGGTGATTTAACATAGCTATGGAAAATGCCCTACTTATAGTTGATTTACCCATTAAAAATGACGATTTTCCATAGTTACGTTTGTTTACCAGAGGGTAGTCTCAAAAAGCTGACAAAATACCTCGGATGAGGGATGTCAGATGCATACCCTTGGGATACAGATTTCGCCAATCCAGTTGGGTAGCCTCAGGTATCTTCATGGCTCAAAGATAGCAAAAACATTACAGAAAAAAAATGACAATCATTATTACTCTGAAGTTGTGGCTTTGATTTGTTTTTGGGTGAAACATGGTGAAACCTGGACTTGGAATCAACAGAAATATGGTGGCGATTGGTGGCTAGAGTTTCGGTCAAACAGGTTTAAGACGGATCCACATGCAATTCCAATCGGGACTTGAACTTCTAGCCGGAAAATCCATGTGTCAACAGCTCCCACTGCAACTGCTTAGGTTTAATAGCGAGATTGCACCTTTAATTGCTAGCTCATGAGACCCAACGCAATGAGGACTCAATCGCGTAGTAAGATGGAGAGGCAGAGAGAAAGAGCAAGACAAGGACCCCGACCTTTCCAAAAGATCCCGTACTGTCTTTGCATGTATTTTATTTGCTGCCTACCGGGGGGATGACATCATGAAACTATTCTATAATTAGTTTCCCGATTTCTTTGGGATATGTGACAGACTTGACGTTCTCAACTCGATCAATTGAAGCCTTTGAGGAATCATGCAGTAACAATTCAGGGGTAATGGGTTTGTTCCTTACCGGTTCCACGTAGTGTCGAAGTCAAAGCCATGCGATGGCATTCAAGCTGCTACGATGGCCATCAGCTTCAAAGAAGAGCTGACTGATGGATGGGCGGTTGCTTGCATACATAACAAAGGTCCAAGTCTGATTCATGTTCAATGGTGGAGTTGATTACACTCACATGTACTATATTGATCTTTATTGATCTACATTGCATTTATAATATGTTTTTTTTTTGCGTATATAATGTGATAAGCACATACATATTTGAATATGATCAAACATTGCTCCCCATAATATCGAAAATAAGCATGTTCCATGTTTGTTTTTTGTTCATGTTTTTTGCGTTCAATACGCACGAAAAAAAAACAACATCTGACAGGCCATGAGCCCCCAGTGGCCCAGGTTTTCGTGGCTCGTTTGGAGCCTGTTTCGACATCACGTGGCATCTGGTTGGCTGCGGCCTTGGTGCTACTCTGCCACTTGGACGATCATAGCCATGTTGATGGGTTGATGGCTATTATAGGATATGACATAAGGGAAAAGTATGAGAAGATATGGGGATACCATGAACATTGGGGATATAATGGGCTTAACATACAGAAATACTGTTCTTTGTCTTTTTTGTTGGATTTTGACATGGCAAATCAACATGGTAGAACCATGTGGAACCCGAATGTTAAGAAACACCGAGACACATTGATTAAAATAAGGGTAATCTTGAGGTTATCCGTTGCCCCCCCAACTGATGTTGTGAGTCACTTCCCAAGCGACTTAGGGGTGTATGACGTATGAGGTCAGAAAAGCTAAACCAGCAGTAGCCGAGTTTCAGTGTATATCTACTGGATTCGATTCCTGTGGGAGAACCCATGAGCTTAGGCGTGTAGGTAATCCACATAGATCAAGATGATCTAAGGTATACGTAGGGAAATCACCAGATTTGGAATGTGGCAAGATGTGATAAGATGTTTTGTCCAGCTCAAATATACACAACTCACTTCTGATTGAATCAGAAAATCCTGATATTTCACAAGGGCAACCACTAATAAGCACAGCATAGCACAGCCATCAACAGCGAATCAACACCACTTCAGAATCCCAGGTAGTGGCGGCTGGTGGAAAAGTGCTGTATTCCTCTTCTTGCTGCTGCTCCTCAATGCGAAACAGGCTGAGAACTGTAGAGAGGAAGTGATTGGAAGGGGAAGACGAGGGGAAGGCGCAAGGCTGCTAGTTTATGATGCTTTATGCCCGCCAAACCTGACAAAACCATACAAAACCCCCATTTAGAGATGATTTTCCAATTGAAATGCACATGTTTAATCACATGGTTTTAACAGAATTTCCGCCATGTTTTGTTTTTTCCGAAGGGTTTTTTGGCCATTTCGACTTCCTGGGATGATCGTCCAATTTCACTTGACATTTATGGGGAATATCATTGATATCATTATAGTTAAAGGGGATTGTAAACCAACAAACATCACTGGGGGGCACTTATGTTCAAATGTGTTCAATCCAGCCTTTCTCTTCGCAGGTCCTCGAAGAGAAGGTCGTTTGCACGAAGGGCCTTGGTTTGCAGCTGACGTCTCGCAGTGCTTGGGTCACTCCCTGGGGTTCCCCCGTCTGGGCCTCCAGCAGCAGTGATTTCATCGAAACGGCGGACATTGAGGACGTCTTGAAAAAAGGGGGGGTGCCGGGGTGGAAGCGGGTGCCAAGTTTGTAAAATTGTGGGCTAACACCGTGGAGGGTCAGGTGTTCGCTGTTACTTTAAGATGTTGCCATATGTTGCCATGCTATATAGCCAACATGGCTAGCCATTTTGTTGTGCAAGGTATCACCCTCCAAGCCATTGATGGGACAGAATAGGTGGCAAAAATCAGCGGGGAGCATTAGAATGACGGTGATGAAGAACAGAGGCAATAAAGCATGTGAGGTTTTTCTATTATACGGGCTCCCAATATGGGATAGATTACCATAAACCATATGGCTTATTTTGACCATGATGCATGTGATACTATGGTTGCAGTTTGAGCTAGAATACCAGGGCTCGCCCCAAGACACTATCAATAGTGGCATTAACCCTGCTGGGGTTCGATTTTGACTGTTGCGCAGGAGATCATTATTGCCGAAGCTGTAACTTACTGGGATGTCTTCTACTACTTAGCCGTGGCAACTTGGCATAGTTAGTTGGTTGAAGTCACTTGGCCCACAATAACTCACAATGACAGCTGTTGTAGTCCAAGCCAACGTTATCCGAGAGGTTTTCCTGATTTTGAATTTCAACATGTTTCAAGTGGTTCATACACGTCGGTACATTATTGATCATTTTTGGTAACACATCATTCCTGTGTCGGCAGTCGTAGCTGGGCCCCTTTCCGAGTGCACCTTGCTATGCTGACAGTCTCCATGATGAGCCGAAGTAATCCCATCACTCTACCGGTAAACATCCCCTAAATGGTCCCGCACATACGTACATCCCTTCACTAAACCATGGTTTCTGGATATTTCTGGATGTTTTTAGGGGGTGCTTCATATTGGGCAGAAGGGATTATACAATTTCTCTGGGCGCCTCCTTTGCAGCCTGTACCTAGATTTCTAATGATTTCTATACCCGGAGGATGCATCTATCCAAGATCCCATCAGCCACCCTCTTTTCTCAAACAAGAAAAGGCTCTTTTCGGTTCCCACAATTGGTTGATGTGGGTTTGTTGTCGGGTGGGGATGTACTATGAGGATTTTTCATTAACCTTTGAGGGTGTAAAGTTATCTAGAATAGGCATATAAGATCATATAAGTAGCAAATCATCTCATTTTTCGGTTTATGACAGATCCTCATAGATTTCTGCAGATGGCATGCTGCCGGCGGTCCTTGACATGTGCTCAGGAACTCCACGGCTGCGATCGGACCAAAGTGCCCTTTCGCCAGTTGTGCCCGCGCGAGGTCTCTCAGCTGATTCGCGTCCTTCAAGTCTTGCGGCAGATGCTGGAGGCAGGAACTGGAAAAGCCATCATTTACCAACATGTTCTTTTTTTTATGGGTGTTTCCATGTGTTTCCACAATGGGGGATCCCCAAGTCACCATGGGTTTAACCCCTTCAATTTTGCATGATTTGGGGTATCCGATATCCCTATTTGGGACACCTCCTGATAATCATAGTATGAATATAATAGGGAGATTTACTCCCCGACAGAAGAACATAGACGAAAAAAACAAATAGTTCCGTGTTAAGAAGACTTTTTTTAGTCGTGTTCCATGTTAAGGCCAAAACGCACAACAAAAATGCTTTCGCACGCTAACGTAGACACATTTGGGGTAAAACTCAAAATCACCCCAAAATGACCGTATAAAATGTTCATTATTTAACATGGACCGTATGTTAGCCAAACCTACATTAACATAACCCAATTTAGGGGATTTTATATATTCTTGTGCCATTTTTGAAGGTGAAAATTAGCCCCGCAATCATTAACATAGACGCTGTTATGGAAAAAACATTTTTTCCCGCCATCGTCCATGTTAAAAGTTGTGGAATTCTGGAGGGACATCATCGAAGGTGAAAATTGGTTCCACAATCATTAACATAGACGCTGTTATGGAAAACATATAGTTTTTGCCGCAATCGTCCATGTTAAAAGTTGTCGAATTCTGGAGGACATATTCGAAGGTTAAAAGTTGGCCCCTTATTTGTTAACATAGACCCTGTTATGTTTAAATGTGTGTTCCTTGTTTTTCATTGTTTTTCATTGCCCCAACAACGGGTTCGCCTGTTCCATGTTAACCACCGTCAGGGGGTGGGGGTCGTGTTGTCCCGATTCTGGCATTCGTAAACCTGGAATAGATCTACAATAATTTGGGCTCCCAAGCTACTTCCCTTTTTCCCCGATCTAGGCTTATTGCATTTTTTGGAAATGCTTTTAAACCAGTCATTCTGGGGGTTGCCCTTTGTTGGCACCAAAAATGCTTCAAATGAGTAATTTTTACTAAAGAATTTAACCGGAAAAAAAAACACTTCATCATCTCCAAACTCAGGACTGAGCCGGTTGGACCCCAAGATCCCCACCGGTGGTTAGCATGGAACACGCGAACCTGTTGTTGGGTCGAAGTCCGGGCTCTGTAGCCCGCCTTCCCCGACTCCGAGTCGCCGTCCCCAGCTCTGAAATATCAACCTTACTTTTTCCCTTGTTTTTCTCTATTCTTCATTATTTTTAACTGCTTTCCTTGTTTTCTCTATTTTTCATTATTTTTCATTGCCCCAACAACGGGTTGGCCTGTTCCATGTTAACCACCGTCAGGGGGGGGGTCGTGTTGTCCCGATTCTGGCATTCGTAAACCTGGAATAGATCTATACAATAATTTGGGCTCCCAAGCTACTTCCCTTTTTCCCCGATCTAGGCTTATTGCATTTTTTGGAAATGCTTTTAAACCAGTCATTCTGGGGGTTGCCCTTTGTTGGCACCAAAAATGCTTCAAATGAGTAATTTTTACTAAAGAATTTAACCGAAAAAAAAAACACTTCATCATCTCCAAACTCAGGACTGAGCCGGTTGGACCCCAAGATCCCCACCGGTGGTTAGCATGGAACACGCGAACCTGTTGTTGGGTCGAAGTCCGGGCTCTGTAGCCCGCCTTCCCCGACTCCGAGTCGCCGTCCCCAGCTCTGAAATATCAACCTTACTTTTTCCCTTGTTTTTCTCTATTCTTCATTATTTTTAACTGCTTTCCTTGTTTTCTCTATTTTTCATTTTTTTCGCCTGTTCCATGTTAACCACTGTCGGGGGGGGTCGTGTTGTCCCGATTCTGGCACTTGTTAACCTGGAATTTTCCCCGATCTAGGCTTATTTACTTATAGTACAGCATTTCCTGCAGTCAGGTTCTGGTTGTTTCCATGTCAGGATTGAGCCGGTTGGACCCCAAGACCCCCACCACTGGTTAACATGGAACAGGCGAACGCAGTGCCCCAACCGGTGGGAACAGTTTTATTCTATTGTGCTGTAATCATTTGTTTTTGAAGTACAGCATTTCTTGTAGTCAGGTTCTATTTTTTCTACCGTGACCGTATGTGTTTTCCAGAATATGCCCTGCGTTAACATGGAAGAGATGGACCATTTGGGTTCCCAAAAAAACGTATTGTACTGTATGTTGTAAATTTCCTGTTGGTTTGCCACTCCCTAAAACGGTAAAAACACGCAAAAAGGAACTCCCCCTCCAAAAAAGTATCTGAGACAGGACCCCCCAGAATTCCATGTTAAACTTATCATGTCATTCTAGTCCAGGAGTCCCAGGTAATATGTTTTTAACATGGACCATTTACAAGGTCTGACACAAGATCCCCTTCGGAATTCAATGTTAAACCATCGTGTGGTACCCCCCGGCAATCACTAACATGGACTACTTGTTGATGGTTAGGAAACTAACATGGAAGAATTTAGGGGGGCAGCCAACATAGGTCGGGGTCATTTTCGGAGGTGGAAATGGCACAAAAATGGTTCCAAGCAAAATTTGTTTTTATTCCATGTTAACCATGTTGGGGCCATTTTGGTACCATTTTCGTATTCCATGTTATTTTTCTAAAAAACTCGATTTTGGGTTTATGTTATTCTGAAGGAGTGTATGGGAATTGTGCTAGCAGTTGATGAGATTGGAGTGCAACCCTAGGTTCGCCAAATTGGATCTTGTGGATTTTAAGCATTTCACGTGGCGCAGCCCGCAGCACATGAGGATACCCCTTACGTGGAAGATGCCGATGACATGCCGCGACCGAAGAGAAACGCAAGATCAAACATGTGCGATGACTGCCTCAAGCTTCCGTGGCCCGTGTGATGGGAAAACATCTTCAAATGTATCTTACATTTGGGCATTTGATAATTTTAATATGTGTGTATCGATTTCAATCCGTAGGATTGAACATGAACCCAGGACCAACACACGATTTCAAGCGTTTGTTTTCATCTCTACCTTGGATGATGTGTTCCAAATGGCCACATAAGCAGTTTTGGAAACTGAGTAAGTTTCCAGAAACCAGGTCACTAGATCATATTATGGCCAAACTCAGATCATATTCATTTGATTTCATTTGTACCATGCATATTATTATGTAAATATTACGTTCATGATAAATATCATAATATGATCATATGTTATTTGTATCTGAATATTTTACAAATTTAATCAAATTTACATGTCATCTTCTTACTATCATGCACATGCACCTTCAAGAGAAACATCAAAAATACTTTGACATTGACTTTCACCAGGTGGCGCCGAAAGGCCATGAAAAGGCCATGAAAAGGTGCTGCCTGACATGTTTTTTTACGGGTTGACCCGGGTCCGCGGGTCACCATGGAAGACATGGCCGTCACTGTTGAGTCGTCCATGGTCACCGATATCCAAAAAAATAGTTGAAGGTTTTAAGCTTCTGAGGGTGGTATGGGAAGTTGGCCATGTCCAAAAGCGGCATTTTTTTTTGTTGGGTAATTTTCAGAATCCCACTGAGATGTAGAGTGATCATTGGCTATGTCCAGGTATTTTAACTCACGCGATGTGGAAAGGATGCGTTCTGGCTTTATAATTCACTGTTCGCAATTTGGGGTGTAGATCCGTTAGGTTTAGATCCGCTACCTTTCAAATCGCAAAAAATCCTAGAAGTTCATGTCTCACTGTGGTATCACCAAGAGGCAGTAATGAAGCAAAAGAAACTGCGGGCATGAACGGTTTTTTTCCTATCAAAGCAATGCGTTTTTTTCGGGATAAGCCGTTGATTTGAACAATGGCAACCAATCTAATGACAAGTGATCCCTGTCAGTCGAAACTGACGATTGAGGGTTCTGAACGTAGCAGCGGGCATGACCCCGGCTCAATTGACACTGACCTTAAGCCCATGCAACAATAGACACCGGCAACAGCAATTGCCAAGTAATGACAACTTTCGCACCTGTATATGCAAGAACATCACCCCTTTAGACACTTGTTGGCCCATTGTGAGACATTTTGAAACATTTTGAGACATTTTGAGACATTTTGAGACATTTTGGGACATTTGGAGACACTTCGAGCAATTTTGAGCAATTTTGAGCGAATTTGAGCAAATTTGAGCAATTTTGAGCAATTTTTTCGGGCCAGCTTGGGTCATTTCGAGAGCAATTTTGATCATCTTTGTCGGGCAAGTTTGGGTCATGTCAAGCAATTCTGAAAAAAATGGAAGCACGATATGGCATTGTTGACCTTGGACAGTGATATTCAAAATGTCTCAATTGAGGCTGCTTTGAGACATCTTACTTTGGCTGAAAAAGGTAGCTGATGTAAACCCAAGGATTTAGACCCTAAAACGAGATCAGTGAATAATGTAGGCACCGGATGATTTATTTGAACGTTGATTTATTGCTTCCCTTTTTACAGTCCTCACCGCTCAGAAAACATGGCAATTGTTTGAAATCAAAAAGCCTCGACCAGCTTGGTGGCCGCCAAATTGTTTGTTGCCATGGATGGTGAAAGAACCTGTTTTCTTGATTAATGACACTTATGTTGTTTTCTTTTGATTTGACATGCATTTTTTCAAAGACATGTGAGTGAGATGGACATGTCGTACTGCATTCAGCTTCTCCGGTGCTAGAAAGACCTGCGCCCTTGCCTGATTTGCTCGCGCCGTCGTCACAGGAAGCAACAGCTGTTGGGAGTGACCCGATGTAGCCAGCCGGCCAACTCAGCCAGAAACAGCTCAGCCCACTGCACCAACCCCAGCGAAAAGACCCAACTCAGCGCTTCACAAACCAACAGCCGGGCAAGCAGTCAGCGGGGCCCAACCCTTCCGGGGCACAGCCGGGCACAGCACTACCGCCGGGTCCAATCTCCGGTGTCCATGCGTAGCTGAGACTTTGGCGACCGTGTGGCTGCCCAGATTTCAGGGCACTCCGACAATGTAGATAGTATCATGCCCGGATTAATAAACCATGGTTTATGAATTATTTAGGAGGGTATTCCCCCAATAGTCATGATTTCATACTTAAATGGTACCTTCCCAATTAAAGAGCCGCTTGGGGTTTATTCATGCAGGGTCGACATTAACTGGTTGTTAGTTTCAAGATTTTTTCTTTTATTGTGCTTCCTGTTTGGGATGATGATCCAAAATTACCTATAATTTTGAGATGGGTTGAAACCACGAACTAGTTATATAAGTTATATATATATATAAGTATATATAATGTGGCAAATCCACTTGCAATAATAAGTAATTATTCCCATGCTATTCCATTATATCCTCAAGTGTTATTGTTGGGGTTTCGACATTTGAGATCAAATTCAATGAGTGTCATGGTTCAATCATCCGAGAAACATGTTAGATTCTTTCCCCCCTTGCACCCCTCAACATGTAGATACATTTTGAGTATGGAGATGTTGCATTCGCCCGACATCAAAAGTACTTAGTCTTAACTACTAGATTTCAACTCTACTACATATTTTGATTATGGTATTCAAACCGACCCGTTCGTCTCCTAGTTCGTAATTTATCATTCCCTCATGTTATAGCTAAACACGATAAGAAACCTCAATCCAGAAATATGTGTGTATATATAATTGATAGCTATAGATATATTTACATAATCCCACCAGCCCCAAACAGTACATTGATTCAGTTTCTTGACATTTCTGGCTTTCTGAGGCGCTGTGCAACTTCCGAACCGAGTTTATGCCAGACAGAGCGAGGCGATGGGTAAAGAAAGGTCAGGTAATATACCATATAGCCAATGATTATATTTGTATATTATCATTGTGGTAATATATGGTAATTATGGTAATTTAATATATTTGTTTTTTAATCCAGAATCCAGGTAATATAAATTACGGTAATATCTTTGTATAGTCATGGCTTCATATACCATTACTTACCCAATTGGTATGATTTCATGAGGTTATCAGACATGGGTTCCCAATATTGCTCCATCTATGGAATATTTATGAACACGTACCATCATGTACACATATTTACACCAACAATCACCCAGATGTAGGTAAATCATGGTCAATATTACCATCCATGGAGCATCTGGCTTGAATTATCTTGAAATGAAATCCTTGTGGCAGGCAGCAGGCATTTTCCAGTTGCATTTGGACACCCCTGATGGCTTTTGATCCCGCCGAAGCCGACCGGATCCGTTAGGTAGCCCGAAGATGGGACAACAGGGAAGCAGACCTGACGTCAATGTGCACGACCTCAGACATCGACCGAGCCGAGGTTCCCAAGAGTTTCCCAACACAAGTTTGACCAAGTTTGTTACAGAGTCCACAAGTGAAAGTTCAACCAAACATGTCACATATGTATTTATATATAATATAATTATGTATATGTGTATATATGTTTATCCTAGTACTTATGTGCAGATTATTGTTTATATATGTGTATATGTGCATTATATGTATAGCACTGGTGCTGTTTTTTTTTCAGACCTTCCAGCATACCCAAGGTGGATGTTTCCACCCAGACATTACGAACCCCCAATGACCTGGCAAATTTTACCAAGCCGCTTCTTGTTACCCTCTGGTTATGTCAAAATAGCTATTGAAAATGACCATAGAAATAGTGGATTTACCCATTGATAGCATGGTGATTTTCCATAGTTATGTTAGTTTACCAGAGGGTACATTCTATGTTACATTCATAGAATATTATGTCATTATATCCCATATGCATCCATGTGCTCCATGTATGGTATATTTACCTACATTACTGGGTGATTTTCTTCGGGCAATGTTGGTAAATATTCCAACACCATGGGTTGCATATGGCTTTAGAATTGCATCTGTGTATCCCATAGGATTCCCGTAGGCTTGCAGCTCCCAAACCTACTATTTGTTGGCTTTATTATTGGGTATAACCATATGAATCCTTTACTAATTCAACATAAGGTACCCAAAACTACTATGGATTATGCTGTCTGCAACCCTGGCACCATTTTCCTGAAGGGTCCAAGTGTCATTTCACCAAAAATTCTTCGCAGAATTGTGCAACAGCCATCACCAAGATGCTCCATCTGGATTTTGTTTACCTATACCCCCAAAAAATGGCCCAACATGTTTAAGTACAATGGATAAATTACATGCAAATGGGTAGTAAATATGTATCTTATATATATTATATATATCGATATATATGTATATATATTATCGAATCTATCTATCTATCTAATCAATCAATCAATCTATCCATCAATCTTTCTATTTATCTATCTATTTATCTATCTATCTACCTATCTATCTGTCTATCTATCTATCTATCTATCTATATCTATTTATATCTATCTATATCTATCCATATTTATCCATATTTATCCATATCTATCTATATCTATCTATATCTATCTATATCTATCTAAATCTATCTATATCTATCTATCTTTCTATATCTATCTATCTATCTATATCTATACCTATCTATATCTATCTATATCTATCTATATCTACCTATAAATCTATCTATATCTATTTATAGCTATTTATAGCTATCTATATCTATCTATATCTATCTATATCTATCTATATCTGTCTATATCTATCTATATCTATCTATATCTATCTATATCTATCTATCTATATCTATCTATCTATCTATCTATTTATCTATCTATCTATCTATCTATCTATATATCTATCTATCTATCTATCTATCTAAATCTATCTATCTAAATCTATCTATCTATCTATCTATCTATCTATATCTATATATATTTATATATATACTGTAAGGGCCCACCAACTTGAAGCATCGAATGCCTTCATTTTAAGGGCGCAGAAACCTGCCTTAACACATGGCGGACAATGTGATTCTTTCCTATGATGTTGTTGTTCTTGTTGCGAGACAGAGAGGAACAATTTGAGTCACTGTGTCGCAGCCTTTTTGGATTCAGCTTGCGGAGACTGTTGTGCACCACACAGCACATTGAGCATGTCTGATGCAGCAAGTGATGATACCGAACGGCGAAGCCATGGTGCAGATGACGCTGCTGCAGCTGGTGGGGGTAGGACGCCTGTTGCGGCAGCCCCACCGGATCCACTTCCACAATTGCGCGCTGAGAGGCAGACGCTGAAGCACCAGCTCAAAGTCGCTACGAAGCAGATAAGGAACGAGGCAGGCCCAGGGTTTGAGGAGCCACTTTCGGGAACCACTTTTAAAGCAGGGTGTGGTCTAGAGGACAGTAAGATCAGTAAGAACCACTTAGAACCCAATGAGGTTCGCAGAGGCGATTGGAGTCACAGAACTTGCTTTGGTGTTCTAAGAATTTCTTCTTATGGATCTTAG